TCAGTGACAGTCTTTTTTTAATTCTTTAAAAAAAGGTGGTTGGAATCGGCCTTTGGGATGCCTCCTAAAATTGGCTTGAGAGCTTCAGAGTGATTAGATGCCTTTTCTACATCTTAGCTTGGGAGACTGTTATTCAAGCCTTATGCGGATGAATTTTTAGGTTGAATCTCTCTTTTGTCATTTTCCTGCCGAATTTAAATTTAGACATTTTATTGTTATGGCAGAGGTCGTAGAAAGACAAAAGTAAAAACAAAAATAACCCAGGGTGGAACGCACCAGGTGAGCCGGTGCGGTCATGCGTTTTTGCACCAAACTTGAAGCTGTTTGGTTAACTGCATTAACAGTTGTTTCTTCAAACTTGCCTTGTGCGCTAAATCCCGTAAATGAACGTAAATTTTGCATAAAAGGAAATTATTTCCTTTTAGCGGTCGCTTTTTATACGATTTTGCCTATATGCAAATTGCAAAAACACATATTACGATAACCCTGTCTGTGTTTGTACGTGTGTGTGTGTATGCGCCTGCCCGGGTATTTCAACTCGGCAACCAAGCAAGTTCCAGTGCCAAGATTTTGCTAGTAGGTTCCCCGACGTGGTACCACCCAGCAACCGCGGTACCAACCCTCACGCAAGCCTAGGTCTTGCGTACGAGGGGGTGAAAGTTTTGACGGGAAAACTGGTAACTCGGGAACAAGAAAAGATAGAAAGCTGGAATTTTGAGGTTATGTTCTCCATCCACATATAATTCAAAGATTTCAATTTCAGCCCCCAGATGTGCGCGGTTCCCGCGTACGACTCCGTGAGATTTTTCGGCGGGAAAATGGCTAACTCAGGAACTACCAAAGCTAGGAAGCTGAAATTTCCAGGGAATGTTCGCAGCCCATGTATGACATAAAGATATTAAATTCAGCCCCCAAGCATGCGTTATTCTCGTGCACGGTCACTTAAATTTTTGGCGAGAAGATTACTTATTGAAAAGCTTAGTCATTTTCAAATAAAAACGACCGCTAGACGGAAATTGTTTATTTCTTTTTATGCAAAATTTACGATGATTTATGGTATTGAACGCATAAGATAGGTGTGAAGAAACAGCCGTTCATGCAGTTAGCATAATTCAAGGCTGGTGTAAAAACGCATGATCGCACCGGCTCGCCGGGTGCGTTCCAGTTGGGTACCTAGTTGTTCAATGAGTAATTTTCCCGCCAAAAATTCAAGTGCTTGTAAAAGACTGCTATGCGTACGTGGAGGCTGAATTTGAAACCTTTAAGTTGCATTTGGACGGGGAATATTCTGCTAAAATCCCAGCTTTCCAGCTTTTCTGGTCTCCGAGTTAGCAGTTTTTCCGCTAAGACATTCGCAAGTCAGCTCTGGCCTGGGAGCGTACTTGGGGACTGGGTTTGGAATCTTTAAGTCGTATGGTAACATCCCCTGAAAATTCCAGCCTCCCAGCTTTCCCGGTTACCGTTCTAGCGAATTTCGTGCCAGGAACCCTCATGGGGCTGCGCGTGTGAACTATGCATACCTAGAGGCTGAATTTGAAGTCTTTGAGTTATATGTGGACGGGAACATAACCTCAAAATTTCAGCTTTCTATCTTTTCTCGTTCACGAGTTATCAATTTTCCCACC